TCAGTTTTGTTGGCAGCCTCAAATATTTGCAGCACATGCCAATCTGAAAAGTTTCATTGCTTCATATTGTGATCTGAAATTTTATACATGTCATAATACTTGATATGTACCAATTAAATATTTGGATTCCAGAAAATGTTTTTTTTTTTTTTTTTTGATAAAATTTAAGAATTTTCAAGCTTTGGAGGGACAATAAATAGTAAAAATATTAGTTTGCTAACTGAAACCTAAACGCAACATATTGATTTATAGGAATCACCAGATGGACCAATCAGAGGAAGCAGTTGTCAAAAAAAAAAAAAAAAAGTCTTGGTATAATTGCAAAATTTAAGCAAGAAGTCAAGAAGCCACTACTTATGGAGTCCCCCAGGGGCCAATGTTTGGGAGCCTAAATCATTTATATCACATGTGAATGAAATACAGAGATGGTACAGATTTGTGCTTTGAGGATTAAAAAAAAAATTAAGTTCAAATAATAGCGAGATGTTACACTAAAATTTACAGTAAGTGAGTATATTCACAATTTTTGGTGAATTTTCTAGAATCCACATGTATAAATTATTTTTACAATAGGTCAGACCAGTCAAAGAAAATATTTACATCCCCATTTTAGGAACCACAAAGTAGTGATGTAAATATGCTCATCTTAAAATCTGTGCTGATTTTTCTTAATCTTAAGCAGCCCCCTGGTGGCGAAACAAAGCATATCAAGCTTACTACTTGAATACCAATTATAGCACAACCTTGCCTGATTTATATTAAATTGGTCCTCTGTAAGAATAGCTGTATAGCAAACAATTAAATTAATCAAAATGCACAAGAGAAATGCTGTCAATGTTTTATTATCACAGAAGCACAACAGGTACCACTATGCAGGAGATACTTAATATCATGAAAAAGAGTTAAAGGAATGCTAACGAAAGAAGAGAAACTATTCCAGTAACACCACAGCATTTTATCTCCAACCTTCAAAACAAAATTCTACAATATTGTCCGACACATGTGGCAGAAGGGGAGGGAGGAGGGAGTCAAAAGCTATTTGGATTATTTACTTCTGTTTCACCAAGTACCGTCAGTCATTAAATCAATTGTATATTTCATACACATGCATTGGCTTTCACTTGTTTTAATCCACATCTAGAATGAAGTGTTTAGCTATCCAGCTAGAAAGTACCAGTTATTGGGGCTGATTAATACAAGGGGCATTACTGTGACAAAAGAAAGCTGGTCCCGCTGATGAGTTTATTCAGTCTGGAGAGAAAATATGTAGGAAAATTTAAATAAACAATTTTAGCCAATCCTAACAAGAAAACTGGAGTACCCGAGTGTAAACCTGATGACCTTTTTTTTTGTTGTACATTCAAGAAATGAAAAGGAAAAAAAAACAAAATCTACCTTAAGATCTGTCATGAGATAAAATGAGTTGACAAGCTATTAAAACGGCAAAGAATTTTAAGAGGACAAAACTCTTTATGAACAGATTAACTTACATATATTGATGCTGGAAACCAAAAATACACACAGCTTACAACATTCCCTTGATCACAAATAAGTGAGTACTTTTATACAGAAAGCTACAGCTCAGGATTCAACACAATAGCTATGCATGTAAATAAAGCTGGAACTGTAAGGTAATGGGAGCACGAAAACCACATCAGTGGGTGGGAGAAGATGTCCGGAGGACTACTCATCGTCCGAGGAGTCCCTGTCGAAATTATAGGCCATGAAGAAAACGTCGGGTCGAGGAGGGACGAGGGCATGGCCCGGTTTCACAATCTCAAAGCCCAGAAAACTGAAGGTACGCACCAGTTTAGCTGTAAAAAAAACAACACAAGTCGGGGACGGTATGTTAATGGCGGTGACCTGCATCGATTCAAAGTGCATAATTTGAACACAAAGAGGTGAACTGTTCAAATGAGACTCACCACGATCATCTCTGTTCTTGTAAAAGCAGACAAACACACCAACAACTTTCAGATGTTCTTCAGCATACTCCAGGAGAGCCGCAAAACTACGAGGAAAAAGAAATGTCGGTTAGAAAAAAAATCAAAAAAGGGGTCCCCCCCCCCCCCAACAATGCAAAATTTTAAAAATCGCAACATTTTGTAAATGTATAGATATGAAAGCAAAAGAGAGAACAACCATAAACATAACCATCACAATAATCTCAGTTTTTGAGATTGTCAGACATCAGTTGGTACTGATGCAAAAAAAATAAATTCTTAACGCTACAAGACTTATTTTCTGGAAACGATAAATGCCCATCATTAAAGACCAGCTTCGAGGCTCCGGCTTTGTTCTCACCTCTCTTTGCTGCCTTCTGGAAGCGGGTCAAGAGGTACCTCCACATAGAGTGCACTGCTGCTCAGGACAGCGTCCCACTGTATCGTCTTTGTGGCTGTGGGACGGCTTTGGAAGTGGAGTATCCTCGGGCGCCCATTCCCCGCAGGCTCTTCTGTTACCGTCAATTTTCGATCCTGAAATTAAATGAGGTTCGTGAGAAGAGCTACGAGCAACATGAAACCAATGCAAAAAGAGAGCGTCCAATGACGGGCCACTAGTTCTAAAATGCGTTCGTCAAAGATATGAGCACATCCATTGTTCTTGCAAATGTAGCTTCTTTTTGTTGACTTACTGAGTAGAGCGGCCGAGCTGAAGGAGCGTGATCCCGTGTGCCATTCCCTCGCCCACCTGGGATCTTCAGGGGTGGGAGAGGGGCATCAGGAGCACCACAGAGGCCCTGGGCCGCGGGTACTACTACAGTGCAGGGACAAGCTGCGGAAGAGATGAGGAGAATAAGTCAAATGCTCAAGGCTGCTTTTTACAATGCAAAACAGGAATGCGTTGCTTAAAACTAAGATTACTATTTGACAACTCAACCTCCCTTCCCCCATTTGACATTGTGGTTCTGTAAACACAAGTGTAATTAGTAGTTTCTAATACATTAGGAGGCTTTATAGGTATTATGAAGCATAACGTGTTCTGGCAAACTTTCCGCTGTGACTAATCACGTTGTTGGGGGGGGGGGGGAAGGTGTAGAATTAATTTCCAAACCATGAAGACACAAAAAAAAACCC